GGACTTGCGTGAATCCGGATCGATTGAGCAGGATGCTGATGCTGTCATGTTTGTCTATCGCGAAGAGTATTACTTGAAACAGCGCATGCCAAAGGAAACGACCTATGAGGGGGTCGACAAATATCAGGCCGCCCTGGACGATTGGCATCGTAAAATGGATCTTGTCCACAACAAGGCAGAGCTTATCCTGGAGAAACAACGTCACGGCCCAACGGGCACCATCCCTCTTTATTTTGAGGGTGAATTTACCCGGTTTGCGGATCTGGACACTCATCACGAGGGGTAAGGCGGGGCGCTCGGCCGGCTTGCCACGCTGCCCCACGCAAGGATTCGATAGTTCAGAAAGCAGCCGTGAGGGGGTCTGGCCCAACCCGGCCGTCCGGGCGGTCAAGCTTTTCAAAAGCGGCCATATCAGACGCATCGAGCTTAAAGTCAAAGCGTCCAGGTTTTCCTTGAGACGCTGGTGGTTCGACGATTTTGGTATAACGACAAGACCCGTAGTCCAGATGCCAGCGAATAATCACCTGANCGGGGGATTTTCGTGCTTCCGGGCGACCTCATTAATCACGTTATCGTCCAGTGTTGCGCCGCGTCCCAGAGGGCTCCATGACTCTGTCAAAATGCCGTGTTTCTGGTGAAACGCGCGAAGTTCTTTTGCTGAAAAGCCGGGTGAAGCTCGATCTGGTTGATCACTGGCACCTCCCCCGTTGCCTGCAAAAGCCGCTCTAAGTGATCAATATTGAAGTTTGAAACCCCGATCGAGCGCACACGCCCCTCTTTTTTCAGGTCGATCAGTGCTTTCCAGGTTTCGACATAAAGGTTGTTTTTCGGTGCAGGCCAATGGATGAGATAGAGGTCGAGCACATCAAGGCCCAGCCTCTTCATGCTGTGATCAAAAGCTTTGCGTGCGGCATCCGCACCGTGGGCGTCGTTCCAGAGCTTTGTTGTCACAAAAAGGTTTTTATGTTGTTTGACAGCCGCGCCGACCCCTTCCTCATTGTGATAGAAGGACGCCGTGTCCACCATGCGATAGCCGATTTCGGCCGCATAACTCACGATCTCAGCTGTCTCGCCAGCGGGAGTCTTGTATACGCCAAGCCCAAGCTGTGGGATAAATCGGCCATCCAGCATCTTCAAGGTTGATGCAGGCCCTGCGGCCGATTGCGACAGATTTGATGCAGGCATAGATGCTTCCTCATAATCCGGTGTGGGTAAATCATTTCGTTCAGCCGGAAGGCGTCCCGAGTGTTCGATATAGGTGTCTTAAATAGATGATTTAAGCCATACGTGTTGCAGTCTCTCGTTTTTCACCATTTCTGGGACTTAAACGATTACGCGCCGAGCGGTCAGCAGGATGGAGGCATGCAGCGCCCACCCTGCCACGTGTTATTTCAGCCCGTAAGATTTCAGCATGGGCGTGATGTCCGGCGCGTGACCGTAGAAGTTTTTGAACATGGTCCCGTAATCCTCCGTATGCCCTTTCGAGAGAACAAGGTCTCGGAAG